CACTGAAGAGGAGTGTGGATCTCCCTCAGGATCTTAAGGTACATTACGCTAAAGCCAGGTCATATCGTGGCTCTACTTTTGTGAGTGTATCATACATCACCCTGTACAAAATATTTATCAGCACTATCTTGCTACCTCTTTGTATTTATTACAGAATCCATGTGTAACAACAGAAGAAAGAATATATTTTCTTAAGCTCCACCTATTATATGTTTTTTTTCCTGCTATTAGCAGTCCCCCCCTCCGGTGCCCCCACCCCTCTTAGTGTGGGTTTTCATGGCTGTGCTTCTCCCGCGCCACCCCCCACCCTGCCCCAGGGTGCCGGCCGCAGGTAGAGGAGTGCTTAGGGTGAGGAAAGGGAGGGTAGTCGTGGAAAGGGGAGCGGTGCTCCCCCATCCCCCCCGCAGGCCCCGGACCGCCCCCAGCCCCCCCACCCCGCCAGGCCCATACGGTTCCACACCCGCCCCCGGCCCACCAGAGCGTTCAGCCCCCCCCCCCACACAGCCGATGAGCCCCGGGCAGTCCATCTATCTTCTGGACATGTAGAGAATCCATGGGGTCCAACATTGCTGATATTTATCCATTTTGTCTCTCAGTGTCGCCGTGAGCCTCTCCATCTCATGTATCTCTTCTACTTTATCCATCCACTGCTGGAGGGTAGGCACCTGGGGGGAGCGCCAATGGATCGGGATCGGGAGTTTGGCTGCGTTGAGGAGGTGCTTGGTTAAGGAGACTTTGTATCGTGAGAGAGGCATCGGGGTATGGTGGAGCAGCATCTGGAGTGGCTGGAAAGGAAGGTCGCTGTCCATGATCTCTTGTATCGTCCTGTGGACTTCTTTCCAGAATGGGGAGATGCTATTACAGGACCACCAAATGTGTAGAGCTGTACCCGGCCTCCCCCCCACACCTCCAGCATGTATCCAGGACATCAGGCAGCATGCGGTGTAGCCTATCTGGGGTTCGATACCATCCGGTGAGCAGTTTGTAATTTAGTTCCTGTAATTTAGAGCACAAGGAAATTTGGTGCGTCAGTATATAAATTTTCGTCCATTCTGGGTCAGTGAGTGAGATTCCCGTTGCCCTCTCCCAGTGTGCAGCGTGTTTTGCCAGTTCCAGTGGGATTGCTGTCAAAAGCAGAGCATATAGGATTGAGATCCCCCTAGGGAGGCGTGCCCTGGCCTCGCACAGTCCCTCAAACTCTGTCAGAGGTCTGTGGAATAGATGTCTCCCGTTTTGTGAGTTGTAGTATGACTTGACTTGGAAGTAGAGGAACCTATCCAAGGTTGTTGGGGTCTTGTCCCCCAGCAGGTCTGGTAGTTGTTTGAGCGCGTCTTTTGTGCACCAATGGTGCATGTAGGACCAGTCTGATCCGCCGAATGTGAGGAGGTCAGTGGGTTCTAGACCTCCCGCCACCTCCGGATTGTGCGTCACAGGGGTCAATGCCCCCGGCAATGTGGTGAGCAAGAGTTTCGTCCTTATCGCGCACCATATCTTCACAGTCGCACCTATGAGCGGATGGTGCTGAGCTGTCGTTCCTCTCATATGTTCATATCTCCATACTAGTGCCGGGAGCCCCCTTTTCACCTGGGCCCTTTCCATGTGTATGCAGATCTTAGTTGTCCTGGACACATGCCATTCCACTATGCGCGGTAGATGTGTGACTCTGTAGTAATTCCAGACAGAAGGGAGTCCCACTCACCCCTGCACCTTTGGCCTATGTAGCAGCGACTTTCTGATCCTGGATGATTGGTTTCGCCAGATAAACCGTGAAATGTCCATGTCTAGTTGTTGGAAGAAGGACGTGGGCAGGCAAATTGGGATCGTCTGGAATAAATAAAGTAGTCGGGGGAGGAGATTCAGTTTGATGCCGAACCATGGCTAGACCATCGTAACATATCCTTTTTTAGAGTCTGTAGAAGCGGTGTGAAATGGTGGGTATATAGTTGGGTGAGGTCCGCTGTTAGCCAGATGCCTAAGTATTTAAGTTTGGACTCGCACCATGAATGCGAACTGTGTTCGCAGGTGGGTGGTCGCTTCCTCCCCTGCTGAGATGAGTAGAGCATCTGACTTATCCGTATTTAGCTTCAGGTTCGATACACTGCCATATTCCTTAAAAGCCTTTAAGAGGTTTGGCAGGGATGCCAGGGGGTTGCTCATGAAAAATAGCATGCCATCGGCGTATGCAGCTATCTTATGGGTAGTTCCTCTCAGGTTAAACCCAGATATACCCCCGTCCCGTCTGACCGCCCCCATGAAGGGTTCCAGGGAGAGGGCAAACAGAAGTGGGGAGAGCGGGCATCCCTGCCTCGTCCCGTTTCGGATTTGGAACGGCAGCGAGAGGGCTCCATTTATCCAGATCCTGGCACTCGGAATCGTGTACAGCGACGACACCCATGTCATTAGGTACGATCCAAATCCCATCAAGGTTGCCTTCATATACTGCCAATCCACACGGTTGAAGGCTTTCTCCGCTTCCGTTGAGAGGAGGAGAGTTTGTCGTTTAAGCTGTTCAGCCGCGTGGATTATGTTCAGTGCCCTGGTGGTATTATCCCTTGCCTCTCTTTCTGGGATGAACCCCACCTAATCCGGTTCCACTAGGTCTGGGAGGACTCCACTTAGTCGCGTGCCCAGAATTTTTGTGAGGAGCTTCAGGTCTGCATTCAGGAGGGATATCGGTCTGTAGCTCGCACAGCTGGTGGGGTCCTTCGCTTCCTTCGGGATGACCACTATTGTTGCCATCAGGGTGTCTCTCGGGAAGGCGCCATCCCGGATGGAGTTGATACCTCGTAGGAGTCTTGGTAGGAGCATGTCTCTGAATTCTTTTAGGTAGCTAACCGGTAAGCCATCCGGTCCCAGAGCCTTATTCGGTTTTGCAGACTTCAGGGCTGCCTGTAGTTCCTCCAGTTTGACTGGGGCTTCCAGGGCTTCCACGTCCTCCTGGATCAGGGTCTTAGTTACATGTTGCTGTAGGTATGCTGTTATCTGCGTGGTTTTCTCCTGCTTCCCATTTATTAGGTCCCCCCGTGGTAGATTATAAAGGTCCGAGTAGTATTTGTAAAATTCCTCTGTTATTTTGTCCGGTAGTTGGGTCACCGGTCTCTCCCAGGGCTTGATTTTGGTGATTTGGCACATTCGTCTCTGTTTTTGTAGCATCCTGGCCAGCAGTCAGCCATATTTGTTCGAGTATTCATAGAAAAAGTGTGTAGATTTGCGTATAGTGTGTTGTAGTTTTTGGGAAAGTAGGTTCTTGAGTGTCCTCCTTGTTTCCAACAGGGTTTTGTAGGTGTTGTCCATTGGGGTGGCTTTGTGCTTTCCCTCCAGTTCCTTGATCATCTGAATCAAACCTGTCATGCATTCCTTCTGCTCTCATTTCCTTTGCGTGCATATCCCAATTAGGTGTCCCCGGATTACGCATTAATGCGCCTCCCAGATCATTAGCGGTGGTGTTTCTAGTATATCATTTTCTTCGAAAAAGGTGGTGATCTAGGCACATTAGTTTGTTACTATAGGCAACTCCGTCAGGATGGATTCATTTATCTTCCAGTGGCGCTCTTGGGGTCTAAATAGGGGGGATTTAATCTGGGTCGATATGGGTGCGTGGTCAGCAGTTTGTATGTCCGCCGAAACAAGTAGGGGCGGGAATTCTTGGGCGAGGAGGATATAATCCAGTCTACTGTACCTCTTGTGTACCGTGGAGATATAAGAGTAATCTCTATCGGCGGGGTGTAGTACCCTCCAACAGTCCATGAGGCCCGATTCCCTCAGTGCCTCCTTGATTTTGCGTAAACTATGGGTCGGTAGTGAGCTGTCACCCATAAATGTGTCTAGTTGGGGCTCCAGGGCCACATTGAGATCACCGGCCACCAGGAGCAGCCCCTCACGGAACTACTCGAGTTTATGTAGTGTACTTCTCAGGAAGCGGTGTTGCCGTGTGTTGGAGGCGTAGATGCATCCAAAAGTATACTTGGTGACTGCTATCGAGTATTTCAGAAACAGATAATGTCCCATGTGGTCTCCACAGACCTCCTCGCAAACGAACAGGACCGTACTCACGAACAGAACTGCGACCCCAGCTTTTTTGGCTGATGGATGATTTGCGAAGTACCCAACTGGGTATCTGGAGTCCCGGAGCGCCGATCCAGCAGCTACCCTAAAGTGCGTCTCTTGCAAGAATGCGACGGAGACCCGGGATGCCCATAGGGAGCGTAAAAGGTGGGATCTCCGTTTGGGGGCATTCAAGCCCCGCACGTTGTGCGACCATAGGTGGAGCGGAGCAGGCGAGAACCCCAGACCCTGAGCCCTGAGTATTTCCTGAGCCCTTGGTTTAGTTAGCAAGTAATTTAACTAGAATCCCAAGGTATATGGCTACATTAAGAATGTACCTTGGCAAAACCCTGCAGCAACAGATCATTAGATTCTCATATGGTCAAGATGAGCAAACACCATATTGATGTTCATGGGGATGGGTCCCCATAATGCCAATGGATATAATTGGATCTTTAAATAAGAAGCAGTAGCAAA